TGACCAGGATGGTCTCGATCTCTTGACCTCGTGATCCACCCGCCTCAGCCTCCCAAAGTGCTGGGATTACAGGCTTGAGCCACCGCGCCCGGCCTATTTTATTTTATTTTGAAACAGTTTTTGCTTTTGTTGCCCAGGCTCCAGTGCAATAGCATGATCTTGGCTCACTGCAACCTCTGCCTCCTGGGTTCAAACGATTCTCCTGCCTCAGCCTCCTGAGTAGCTGGGATTACAAACATGTGCCAACACACCCAGCTAATTTTTGTATTCGTAGTAGAGATGGGGTTTTACCATGTTGGCTAGATTGGTCTTGGACTCCTGACCTCAGGTGATCTGTCCTCCTTGGCCTCCCAAAGTGCTGGGATTACAGGCGTGAGCCACGGCACCCAGTTTCTTGAACAAAATCAGGATTCTCTTAGAAAAGAGAGGGTAATACAGCCATTGGGCAGGGAACTAGCAGTGTTTGGTATAATACCCTCCGTTTCACCTAGACTCTCTCAATAAATGACACACCATTCAACTCAACCAGTTGTTGTAGCCAGAAACCTGGGACTCATCCTGGAATCTCCACCTCTCTCATCTTCCACTCTATTCAACCAATAATTCCATTGATTCTACCTCAAACACAGCTCTGTAATCAGCCTTCTCTTTTGCCACCCAAGTTCAGGATGCCACCATCATCTTTCAACTGGGACCCTGCAGTGGACTGCATTGGTCTCCCTGCCTGTAGTCTTACTAAACCTCGATCCAAGTTCCAAGCTGCTAATAGTACCTTTTCTTGATGCAATTCTGGTCATGTTATTTTCCCATTAAAACCCCTTCTTGGGGCCAGGTGCGGTGGCTCATGCCTGTAATCCCAACACTTTGGGAGGCTGAGGTGGACCAATCATTTGAGGCCAGGAGTTTGGGACCAGCCTGGCCAACATGGTGAAACTCCGTTTCTACTAAAAATACAAAAATTAGCTGGGAATGGTAGTGCATGCCTGTGATTCCAGTTACTCAAGAGGCTGAGGTACAAGAATCAGTTGAACCTGGAAGGTGGAGGTTGCAGTGAGCCGAGATCACACCACTGCACTCCAGCCTAGGTGACAGAGCAAGACTGTCTCAAAAAAAAAAAAAAAAANAAAAAAAAAAAAAAAAAAAAAAAAAAAAAAAAAAAAAAAAAAAAAAAAAAAAAAAAAAAAAAAAAAAAAAAAAAAAAAAAAAAAAAAAAAATGAAGAGAATGTAGTCAAAAACCAAAGAAGGAAATTAGAGGCACCCAACAGGGTCACCCAACAGGGTAACCCACAAAGAGGACAGGATATGGACTAAAAAGTGCCACTAGATTTGGTCACCGAGTGAGAAGGATAATATTTGAGAAGATTTGGACTCTTTTGTCAAACTAATATACTTAAGAATGTATTTTCTACCTCTTCATTAATTCCTCCACCCATTTGTCCAGCAAAGATTCACTAAACATCTACTCAAGGCTGTGTACTGTGCTAGGCCCTAGGGAGACATAAGTTGACCAATGTCCTTTTGGGCTCACTATACTTGCCTGCAAGGGAAAGTTACAATGCACCAGGGCTGGGTCTTTTACAAGCTGGTACTGACAGGCTCTCTGAATACATTCGATGAAACAAGGGCCAGTGTGCAAGTCCAAAAGTCAATGAGACTTAATTATCTTGCTCTGAGGTGGGAGGAGGCAAAGGGAAAGTGTGTGCAGAACATTATTATTGCATTATTGGTATCTTGATAAGTCAGTCACAGATGAGAGTCTGGATTTTTCCAAGAAAATTGGTTCCATCTGCTCAAACGCAGAAAAGTGATAGAGCAGTTAATCAAAAGAGCATCCCCTTAAAATATTCTCTGAACTTGCCTACTTTTTTTTTTTTGAAATGGAGTCTCGCTCTCTTACCCAGGCTGGAATGCATTGGTGTGATCTCAGCTCACTGCAACCTTTACTTCCTGGGTTCGAACATTCTCTTGCCTCAGCCTCCTGAGTAGCTGGGATTATAGGCACATGCCACCACACCTAGCTAATTTGTATTTTTAGTAGGGATGGTGTTTCACTGTGTTGACTAGGCTGGTCTCGAACACCCGCCTTGACCTCCCAAAGTGCTGGGATTAAAGGCCTAAGTCACTGCGCCTGGCCTTGACCCTAATTATTGACAAACTATTGCTTTACTAATTTTTTTTTTCCTGCCCTTCTGTTCTAACTGCAGCAAAACAGTGTGGTGTAATGTTCAAAAAATCAGTGAATCACAGCCTTCTGAAAACGAATGGGTATCAGTGGGGTTTGGGAGTTGGATGAAGACAAAGGGAGGGACACCATAACTAACTGGAGATCTTACTACATTTTCCTTTAATATTCATTTTTTACAATAGGCATTATTTTGAAAAAAGTTTAATTCAAAATGTCATTAAGGCACATTATCTTTAATGGTCTGGAAAAACAGTTATTTTTACACTTGAACTTAGCCAAAAGGCCGAGAAGCGATAAAAAACAGTTATTTTTAAAAATCCTGTCCATCAATTTTTTAAAAACATAAAACTAGACATTCTTTGAAATGTGAATAATAATTTCCTAATTTATATTGAGGATTTTGGATATACTTGTTTTTTTTTTTTTTTTTTTTTTTTTTTTTTTTTTTTTTTTTTTTTTTTTTTTTAAACATGTATGCCTGGGAAGGTAAATGATGCAAATATTTGACCACTGCCTCAATCAGACTTTAGTTTTTAGGGTCTGGCCTGACATGATGGCACATAAACAGGAAAACAAGCTCAGAGGAGCCTATCCCTGAAAACAATCCCTTACGGGACTCTAGCTCACGCCTGGCCCTTCCCAGTGCTTCCATCTGAAGCCCCTGGGGATCCAGGTGGGTTAAGAAAGGTGGGGGAGAGGGGATCGTAAATCCTACCCCACTGGGAAGGGTGACAGTAACAACTTCCAGAGTGTTTACAAAGAGCCAGGCTCAGATCCAAGCCCTTGACGTGTATTAACCTGGGTAATCACCCCAACAATTCATGAAATAGTTACTATTATTATCTTTTTCTTTTTCCTTTTTTTTTTTGAGACGGAGTTTCACTCTTGTTACCCAGGCTGGAGTGCAATGGCGCGATCTCGGCTGACCGCAACCTCCGCCTCCTGCGTTCAGGCAATTCTCCTGCCTCAGCCTCCTGAGTAGCTGGGATTACAGGCACGCGCCACCATGGCCCAGCTAATGTTTTGTATTTTTAGTAGAGACGGGGTTTCGTCATGTTGACCAGGATGGTCTCGATCTCTTGACCTTGTGATCCACCCGCCTCGGCCTCCCAAAGTGCTGGATTACAGGCTTGAGCCACCGCGCCCGGCAGACTATTTCTGTATTATCTTCATTTAACAGATAAGCAACGGAGTCAGAGTGGTTATAGAAAGTGGAGGAGCGGGTACCTTGTTGGTAGCCACTGGGGGTGTCAGTAACATGTCTCAACTTTGTTAAAACGGATCAGAAAAATGCTCACCTTTAAGACTGCAAGCAGGGCCTGTCTAGGGAAGAGGTGACTTATCAATGATCTTTTAGATAAGGAATAGATCTGCAGGGAGGCGTGTGTAAGAATAAAAAGTGAGTTCCCTGTGTGCGTGGTCGGTGGTGAACTCCTAGCTGGTCCAAACTGAGAGCTTGAGCATTTGCTCTCCAGGGTGAGAGCCCAAAGCCGAAGGAACAGAGAGGGCCAATTCCGGCGGCAGCCACGTGGCCCAGTCTGTGAGCCAGGGTGGCCGTCACGGAGGCGGGGCCCGAGGGGCGGGGCTGGGGAGTGCTGACGCCCGGGCCGGGCGGAGTGCGCCTGCGCACGGGGTGGGCAGGGCGGGGGTGGGAACGCGAGAGGAGCTGTATTAACGAAGCTCCCCGCCCCGCCCGCCAGGCCAGTGCTCTCAGTGCGCAGGCGCGGAGCTCTCTCCTTGTCAGTCGGCGCCGCGTGCGGGCTGGTGGCTCTGTGGCAGCTGCGGCTACTGGACTCCGGCACCATGAGCGGCTTCAGCACCGAGGAGCGCGCCGCGCCCTTCTCCCTGGAGTACCGAGTCTTCCTCAGTGAGTGTCTGCAGCTAGCGGACCCTCCCCTCCCGTCCGCCCATTCATTCCCGGGCCTCTACTCCCCGGAGGGTGCGGCCAGCGCTCCGCCCCAAGTCTCCGACGCGGGCCCAGCTCCTCGGACGCGTCTTGGGGCCTGGCCGGCCTCGCATTGCCCACTTGCCGCCGGCGGGGATCGCCTCCGGCCATCCCTCCCGGCTGAACGGAAATGGTCCCTTTCTCACGCTTCGGTGTACCCAAACCTGGGCCCAGCTAGTTTTGCAGGTGTCCGGCTCGGGCAGGGTCTGAAGAGAAACGGAAATCACTGGCCCACCCTAGAAAGGTGCCTGGAGGTAACATAATCTCCGTAAGAGGATTGCTCAGTTTGGAGGAACAGCGACTCAGGGGGACAGTGACTTCCTAAAGACCTTAATTCTGTCGCCGTAGCTCAGATTATCGGCGCTGAGCGGAGCCAAGTCCACCCCCTCGTTGTACAGACGGGGAAACCGAGGCCTGGATCGGGAGCCGTCTGTGAAGGCGCTGGACCGACCCTCCGGTCCGCGGTAACGCTCCTACCTCTCCGCCGCCTGTTTTCTCTTAGCGCTGATGCTGGGAATGCTCTTATGAAACAGAAAGCTGTTCCCCGCAAATCAAACAGATGACGTCAATCTGGAAGCATGACTGAGAAAGTGCCAAGTTTTTACCTTGTGCAGGATTCGGCATCTAAGGGGGTACCTACCAAGGTCCTGCCCCTGAGGATGCACGTGGAAGCCGGGAGGCTGCAGGCTGGCGCCCTCCACGCTCCTTATCGCCGCCACCTTTTTTTTTAACCTTGTAGGTGGAGGAAAGCTACGTGGGGTTTTCTTTATCCTATTACTCCCTCCACCCTCAGCTACTAGGAGCAGATTATGGGAGATAACCGAGGCAGTGGTGAATGTATCACCAAAGGCGCTTCTATTTTAATCTCTTTACAGTTTTATTTGGAAGGAAATGGGCAGGTGCCTCAAACTCTGAGTTGGTGAAGCGGGGAGTAGAGGGGATCAATGGGAATAGGCGTTGAAGGAACAAAGCTCCTAGCAAAAAGAGCCTGGTGTGGGAGGAAAAGGAAAGTGAACAGTAAAACTCACACATCTAGCTGAAGGTTAAAATATCAGATACAATTTAGGAAGGTGAGAACTACCCCCACTCTCCATTTTATTTAATTTTGCAATGAAGCAGCAAGGGCAGTGCAGTAACTTTTGACCGATAGTTCATGGAACTGTTTTTCTGGAAATAGTGTTGACTCCAGAATTTCTCTGTAGGAAGGGCTTACAGAGGTGACTGTCTGATTTGAAGGTGAGGGGTGGATCTTCAACCTATATATGCAGAACACACTGCTTTTACTTAGATTATTTATTTGCGATTAGTATTTGGTGGCTGTTATGGGAGACCAGAGCTACTCCTAGACTTTGACACTAGCTGAAGTAATTGATTTTATCAAGTAGAACTCTCTGGAACTTGAGAAATAGTAATTAGAATCCACTATATAGTTATCAAATTTTAAGTGCTTTATCGTTCCTTAATAAAAATAAACTTTTTTTTAGCTTTATAATGCTACATTTGTCAATTTCTTTAAAATTGATAAAGGGTTGGGCAGACTGCAAAGTCACAATTGACCCCAAAGGGACTTTTATAGGATTATGAGGGGTCACTGTTCTATTTTTCCTATTACACTTTGATTTTTCTTTGTTTTTGAGACAGAGTCTAGCTCTGTTGCCCAGACTGGAGTGCAGTGGTGCAGTCTCCACTCACTGCAACTTCTGCCTCCCAGGTTCAAGTGATTCTCCTGCCTCAGCCTCCCAAGTAGCTGAAATTACAGGCACTTGCCACCATGTGGGTAATTTTTGTATTTTTAGTAGAGACAGGGCTTCACCATGTTGGCCAGGCTGGTCTCAGACTCCTGACCTCTGGTGATCCACCTGCTTCAGCCTCCCAAAGTGCTGGGATTATAGGCATGAGCTACTACACCTGGCCTCCACTTTGATTTTTAAACTTGAAGGGATGCAATGTAGACAGTCCATAGGTTTTCTGAAGAATACTGAGGAAGTTTTAAAATTACTCTTTGGCTATATTTAGGCCTCTAGAATATATTAGTAATATATATCCAGAATATAATAGAAATTATTTGTGAAGGTGTTTGTTGCAACTTGATTATCCTTAAAGAAAGTCATAATCTAAGATGGCTGTCTCTTTCTTCCCAGAACACCACTTTTAGCTACATTGTTTATAATTTAGCAAAATGGTCCCCTCCCTTCCTCCCAAGTACTTCATAATAGTTCTGTAAACTGTTAACTGATGTGAGTTCAGTCCAAAACAATTAAATTGTCCAAAACAATTGCCTTTTGTGTATTGGGTAGTCTCTGCTGTCAGTACAGAAATTAGTACTTATTAGATGCCTACAGAGTGCATAGAATGTAAATCCAGCCTAGCCTGGGAGTGCAGTCAGGAGAAGTGAAGTATACGACCAGTTTTTCTGGTGTGAGAATAGTGTCTTGGTATAAAAAAATGTGTACTGATCGGGTGTGGTGTCTCACCCCTGTAATTCCAGCCCTATGGGAGGCCAAGGTGGGCAGACTGCTTTGAGCTCAGGAGTTGGAAACCAGCCTGGGAAACATGGGAACACCCCGTCTCTACAAAAAATACAGAAATTAGCCAGGCATAGAAGCTTGCGCCTATAGTTCCAGCTACTCAGGAGGTTGAGGCTGGAGGATCACTTGAGCCTCCAAGAGGGAAGCAGGGGTGGCAGTGGGCCAAGGTCACACTATTGTACACTATCCTGGATGTCAGAGTAAGAGAGCCTATCTCAAAAAAAAAAAAAAAAAACTATACTATGTGCATTTAGCAATACAATGAATTACAGTAATAACTTTTTCTAATTTATTTTGCAGAAAATGAGAAAGGACAATATATATCTCCATTTCATGATATTCCAATTTATGCAGATAAGGTAAGACATTCTTGTCTTTTGGACATAGTCTCTTTACTCAGATCAGCTAGTTCTACGTATTAATTTTCTTACATGTCTTTCAACAAGTGCTTAAAATGCCTCATTGTGGTGTAAGTTAAAGGTCCATTGATTAGGCCGGGGGCAGTGGCTCAGGCCTCTAATCCTAGCACTTTGGGAGGCTGAGGAGGGTGGATGGCTTGAGGCCAGAAGTTCGAGAACATCTTGGGCAACATGGCAAAACCCTGTCTCTACAAAAAAATAAAACAATTAGCCAGGCATGGTGGCATGTGCCTGTAGTCTGAGCAACTTGGAAGGCTGAGGTTGGAGAATCGCTTGAACCTGGGAGGCAGAGGCTGCAGCGAGCCAAGATTGCACCACTGCACTCCAGCTTGGGTGACAGAGCGATACCCCGTCTCAAAAAAAAGGTCCATTGACTAAATAAAAAATCAGTCTTAAACTAGATTATTTCGTTAAAGAAGCAAATATAATTTGGGGAAGGAGAGGAGGAATAAAAGCAAAAGTAAGCTGTCTTGGTAAAAAAAAAAAAAAAAAAAAATTACATTGGTCCTTTTTGTATGTGTATTTGGAACTAAAATCTTAATACTTCATTAGTGGTTTTAAATAAACCAGGTAGCCATCACAGAATTTGGGCTGTGGGATCTTTATTAAAAGGTAAAAATAAACTAGATTATTCAATGAGTATAGGAAAATTTAGTCACAGGCTAGTACAGTTGAGATTTGTGCAATTAAGATAGTGTTAATAAACGTAGGCACACAGACTTCTAAAAGGAAATAGCTGTTCTTTTATGTCCTGTATAAACCAGCAAGAAGAAACCTAACTTTAGCACAGATTGGGAGGTTTGCCACAAATTGGTAAAAATCTTTACTTTTCTAGGGGAAAACAAGTCTACGACTATATACACCAGAATAGCTGGGTGTGGGGTGATTGTAATCCCACTTGGAAGGCTGTGCTGGGAGAAGCACTTGAGCCCAGGAGTTTGAGACCAGACTGGCAACAAAGCAAGACCCTGTCTCAGAAAAATAAATAACAATAAAAAATATATATCAAAATATTTATGATTCGTGGGACTGCCACCCTTGGTTTTATTTTCATTTTTGTCTTTTTATATTGTCTAATCTTTTTACAAAGAGCATCTGTTATAAGTACAACTTTAAACAGTCATTTTAAAAAATGCATCTCTTCTTAGCCTCCTTTCCAATGGAAGCTGTTTGTACTGTATTTCTCAACTTTACACCAGAACAAATATCTTATTCTTTTTATACTTTTACGTTTTTTTCCTTCAGTAAGAAAATTTGATTCACATTGAGTACAATAATTTTTGAGTTGTAGAAGTTACATAGGTTATTGACTTTCCTTAGCTAGATGTCAGTACACAACATATGTGAGCATCACTTTCCAGTGCACATCTAGAGTAATAGTAAAGATGAAATTTTGTTCTTCTGTGTGCTGTCTTACTGTTTTTCTGGGCGTGACCATTAGATAGAAATAGATAAATTCATTGCATTTCTACCAGGAAGTTTGCTGCAGTTCTGTACTGCCAGAAATTCCAGTTTTTGCATTGCTTACAAGGAGCCTGCCTGGGCAAGACTCCAATTGGAGGCAATGGAGCAAACAGCCCCAGGCCAATTATGTGCCACAAGTACAGGAGGGACCTCAAATTGGCATGTATTTTTCCTGTGGGAATATCAGAGTTGTATTTATTCACAAACTCGAATTTGTTACATCTGATTTCCTGGGAGTTGATATAAACTGCAGAATCTTCCCCTCTTGAATCTTGGCCACATTAGGTTGGCTTGAATTATCTGCTTGTTGTATAATAGTATATATATATATATCTCATATTGTAGCATCTCAGACCATTTTGAGCAATGAAGAGGTATAAAATGATGACCCTAAGTTTACTGATAATACCCTGCCATACAGGTGTACTAAGGAGGGAAAACATTTTCTTGAAATAGAGCTGTTTTCACAGTGTTCTTAAGTCACTGGACAGTATTGCAGCCAAGGACCAGATGATCATAGATGTTTTGGTACCTACTCTTATTGCTGCTTCAAGTTATTCCAAAATAGGAAACAGGCTACATTTTGGTGTCCTGTTAGGTGTGTTCACTCAGATTACTCTGGGACACCGAAGTCTTATAAGGGACTGGTCTGTAAAGTGGATTACTCAAATGAAGACTCTGCTCTTGGCCCGCCCTGTCCCAGCTCAAAAGCACAAGCTCTTACGACTCTGGATTTTATGAGTGGTCTAGACCTCAGTGGATCTTGGACAGAAGCCTTTCTGCCTGAGAGGCCGGAAGGAATTCATTATGTTGTTTTGTTTTTAAGGAAGTTACTTGTTTAAAACACAAATGAAGGTGTGGTTGACATCATTCTGGATTATAGCTTTAAAAAAAAAATCAGATTAACTTGAGTGTTTTTCTTCTTTATAAAAAATCCATTGTGATTAAGTTTACATAAAGACATTCTCATGGGCTTCGCCTTAGCCTTTATTCCTAATATGATCAGTCATCTGAGGGATGATAATGAGGGAATGTCATGATCAAGTGAGCATGTGCCTTTAACACAGCTCAGTCAGCTCGACTAAGGAAAAATGTCCAAAGGCTCATATCCATATCAGGCCTTTTTTTTGAGACAGATTCTCTTTGTCACCCAGTCTGGAGTGCAGTGGCATGATCATGGCTTACTGCAGCTTCAACCTCCCAGGCACAAGTGGTCCTCCTGCCCCAGCCTCCTGAATAGCTGGGACCATAGGCACACACTAACACGCCCAGCTAATTTTTCTATTTTTTGTAGAGATGGGGTTTCCCTATGTGCCACATTCCCTATGTGTCCCTATGTGACCAGTTCCCTGGTCTTGAACTCCTGGGTTCAAGCGATCTGCCCATCTTAGCCTCCCAAAGTCCTGGGATTATAGGCGTGAGCCACTGTGCCCAACCCCTATCAGGACCTTTTAATGTAGATATTCAGTTTGCCATTAGGTAATCAGTGCAGCCCGTTTTGGAAAATCTTTTGCCTCGAGTACTCTGCTTTGTCCACATCCAATGGGTAGAGAAGGTAAAAGCAAGGGCTCCCTGGATGTTTTTAAACTGTAGGGATGTCCTTTGCTCTGAGTCAATTTTAGGATCAAATATAAAAGCATCTATAGCTCAGAGTATCTTCTAACATAGAACTTTTGAGATACCAGAAATTTTAAAAATCCAAAACATAGCATAAACAGTATGAAACACTGAGCAGATAAAAGCTTTCTCTAAACCTTAAAGTGCTCAGATATCATGACCTGATTTTTAAATTTTAGAAATCAGATATTTTTCTATTCTATATCTTAAACTTTCATATTAATTCTAGTTCTGACAATGTAGGGTGCTATTTTTTTCAGGTGATTGTTGGGAGCATATAGAGGCATATATAAATATGGAATATGTGTTTCTTTTTTTCTCTTCTGAAAGAAAGTCAAATCTCTAATCAAACAGATTGATGCTTCAGAAACTTCCCAGAATATTATCTGCAATTTGGCATAAATGCATTTTTCTTGGGAAAGGTTCCATGGTCAAAATTATTAGTCATTGCAAATCAGAAAAGTTTTGACAACTGGAAATGCAGACCCTTTTGCTTGATTTTATAAAGAGAGGAAAATAAACAGATTGTGGTTAGAATATCTGTTTTCAAAATTTAGTCATCATAAAGCTTATCTGAAGAGAAAAAAATTGGCAAAAATAGCAGCTTTTTCTTTCTCTTTTTTGAGACAAGGTCTCACTCTGTCACCCAGGCTGGAGTGTAGTGGCATGATATTGGCTCACTACAGTCTCCACCTCCTGGTCTCATGCAGGCCTCCCACCTCAGTCTCCTGAGTAGCTGAGTCTACAGGTGCGCACCACCATACCTAGCTAAATTTTTTTTTGTATTTGTAGAGACAGGCTTTCGCTGGTCTTAAACTCCTGAGCTCAAACAGTCTGCCCACCTCAGCTCCCAAAATGCTGGGATTTCAGGTGTGAGCTACCACACATGGCCAGCAGCTATTCTTAATTATGACATGACAAGTTATTGCTCTACACAGGTACATATGGTAGTGTATAGTAGCAAATACAGGCATTTGTTCGAGTTGCTATGAGCAGACACCTATGTAACTGGAAAAAAAGTATTACTAAAAGTTTTATGTGTATGTGTTTTAATTTTTTTTACTTTAATAAGCTAATGATCTCGCTTGGAATTTTAATGCAATTTGTTGAGCAAATGTTTTTTGGGTTGGTGTAAATCATGTCTTTCTTTGCTAAGTTACAGTTCTCAATGAATAAGGGGCACAACAGTGAAGTTTGATCATCATATTTCTTTCTGTTAGCTTCTCAAATAGACTTCTGTCATTGCCAATGAAATAATTCAGGAATCCATATACTTTTAACAGCTTAAAGTATATCCTTCAATAATCATATAACCAACTTTACAGCCAAAACTTAGAGTTAAGAGCCATTGTCATTTGGTGAGCAGTGAATAAGA